CCTTTCCCCCTCCTCCAAGACTGCCATGGTCAAATTGCGTATTTGATACACAAATGTAAAATCAAGTGAACAACAATATTGGATTAATTGAATAACAGAACAGAGACCAATAATTTTTGAGCACCCTAAGACACTGTGTTGAGTCCTTTTCTAGTAGTATCTGTTTTAACTCTCACAGTAGTGGGTAACACTCACAGAGCACTTACCGGCTATAATTCTAAGAGCTTTATGAACAGTCACTCATTCAGTCTTCACATCACCCTATATGGTTGTTATTGCTGTTGTTAGCTGCCATTGAATTGGCCCTGACTCCTGGCAACTCCATGCCAGGAGAATGAAATGCTGCCCAGCCCTACATCATTCCCATGATCAGTTGCAGATCAGACTGTTGTGATCCACAGGTTTTTTATTAGCTGATTTTTAGAAGTAGATTGCCAGGCCTTTCTTCCTGGTCCATCTTAGTCTGGAAGCTCTGCTAAAACCTGTTCAGCATCATAGCAACACCTTAGCCTGCACTGACACATAGGTGGTGGCTGTGAATGAGGTGCATTGGCCAGAAATCAAACCTGGGTCTCCCGCGTGGAAGGCGAGAATTCTACCACTAAACCACTGGTGCTTCATTCCCTGTATAGTAGGTTCTGTTATTATTCCCTTTTTACAGATGTGGAAATGGTTGCCCAGCATCAGGGGCAGAGTCAGAACTCAAATCTAGGCAGCTTGGCCCCAGAGCAGGGCTTTGAACTGGTTATTTTTAGTCTGAGCCCCTAACCCCTGCTGAGAATTTGCATTTCCACTTCCAGATATACTGAATCAGAATCTACATTTTAACAAGATCCTAATCACCTGGGGATCTTGTTAAACTTCCTCCACATCTCTGAGGACCCTCTGTCTTGGGGTGTGGGGGATGAACAAGTACTGAGCACTGGCTGATATCTGATAGATCAGTGGGCTGTTAAGGCTGGAAGAGACTTTAGTGATCATCGAGGGACTAGATCAGCCAATCCGAGCAGGCACCGTGCCCAACTCTTACCTGGGCCTCCTCTGGACAACTTTGACCTGCAGAGTGGTGAGGCCTCACTGATTTGTTATGGTTCTCTAACTTTGTTTTCTATAAAGGAATGATGATAACTATGTGTCCCTTTGTCTTAATGAGTCTGAGGATGAAAGTGTCAAGGAAGTTGGAAGGACATGTTTGAATCCTCTGGAAGTTGAGTTTTCTGCCTTCCAAATGTCTCTTGCTGAACATATGTACAGTTTGTGGTTGACCAGCCTGGGGCCTCATATTCTTCTGCCTGACCTGTATGGTGTTCCCTGGAGGCAGCTAGATAGGAAGGGAAGCACTGAGCCCACCAAGGAAACATCCCATGAGCAAGTCCCTGAGAATCTCTTTATGTGTATCTGTGAAAATGGCAGAGAGGGGCACTTCCCGGACCACTTCACAGGTAATCATGAGAATCCATTGAGATAAAGAGAGGAGGCTGCTGTATAAACCGTAAAGGTGGAGGCCTGTGTGATCCATAATCAGTGTTTCTCATCAAGAGGACCAGCTTACCTTAGTCTACCTCTTTAGACTCCAAATTCTGTTTTCTTTCCCTTTACCATTGACCATACGTCCAGATTCCTGGGTCTTTTAATGCAACAGATTTTCCCTGAGCCCTTACTGAAGTGCTCAGTGGGCTTGGTGCTGGGGAAGGGAACCCAAGAGAAGGAAAAAGCAGGGCCTGTCCATGGTCTGGAGTCCCTAAGTGTCAGAGGAAGACAGAGTACTAGGGGCTCTCTGAAAAGGTACATTTGCACTGAACACACCTGTGTAACCACCGCCCAGATCAGCCCTACCCCCCAGGAGCTCCCCTGTGGCCCTTCCCAGTCACTACCACCCCAGGGGGTAACCACCATCCTGATTTCTAACATCAGAGATTAGTTTTACCTAGTTTTGAACTTAAATGGAATCGTCCAGTATGTATTGTTTTGTGCCTGGCTTCTTTCACTCAATACTATGTGACTTTCACTCAGTACTATGTGTGTGCCACTCATCCATGTTGACGTGAGCAGCTATAGTTTGTTCATTCTCATTGCTGTATGTAGAATTCTACTGTGGTACTAGATCACAACTTATCTGTTGTGATGACGGGCCTTAGCTGCTGTTGTTGGGTGCCATCAAGTTGATTTCAACTCATAGAGACCCCATGTGACAGAGTAGAACTGTCCCATAGGGTTTTCTAGGCTGCAGTCTTTACGGGAGGAAATTGCCAAGTCTTTCTCCTGCAGAGCCACTGGATGGGTTCAAAACCACCAACCTTTCAGTTAGCAGCTGAGAGCTTAACTGTTGTGCCACCAGGGCTCTGGGCCTTAGCTAAAGGTAGTCCCTGACTTACAACGTGTTTGAGTTACAACAGACCGCACTTATGACAGTCTGTTTTTTGGAGGTTTTTTTTGGTACATCTTATTGTTAGTAATATGTACTACATACAATGGTAAAATATGTCTGTAAGTTTATGTGTAATATTTCCAACCCCCAAAGACAAATAAAGATCAGATGTATATATACTGATAATAAAAGGCAATAATAATGAAAACTAAAAAAAAGTATTTCACTTATGTCAGAACCAAATTATGATGGAGTCGTCAGAACGGAACTCCATCTTAAGTCGTGAATTACCTGTAGTTCCCACTTTTTGGTATGCTATGAACATTCTAATTCATGTCTCTTGTTTGTTTTTTTAAATTTTTTATTGCACTTTAGGTGAAAAGTTTACAGAGCAAATCAGTGTCTCATTGGATAGTTTGTACATAAAGTGTTCCATAACATTGGTTGCATTCCCCACAATGTGTCAGCACTCCCCCCATTTCCACCCTGGGTTGCCCATTTCCTTTTGTCTGAATTTTCTACCCCTTCCTGCCTTCTCATCATTGCTTTTGGACAAATGTCATCCTTTTGATCTCATATAATTGATTGTTCAAGGAGCATATTCCTCTCAGGTGTTATTGTTTAATTTATGGGCCTGTCTGTATAGTTTGGCTGATAGGTGGTCTCCTGGAATGGCTTCAGTTCCAGGTCAGAAGGGTGTCTTAGAGCCATTGTCTCCGGGGTTCCTCCAGTCTCTGTCAGACAAGTAAGTCTAGTCTTTTTTGTGAATTTGATTTTTTGTTCTACATTTTTCTCCCTCTCTGTCTGGTACCCTCTGTTGTGATCCTAGTCAGACTGGTCAGTAGTGGTAGCCGGGCATCATGTAGTTCTTCTGGTCTCTGGGTCGTGTAGGCTGTGGTTGATGTGGTCCATTAGTCCTTTGTACTCATTGCTCCCTTGAGTCTTTGGTTTTCTTCACTCTCCTTTGCTCTGGATGGAAAGAGACCAATAGTTGTGTCTTAGATGGCCACTTGCAAGCTTTTAAGTCTACAGAAGCTACTTAACAAAGTAGGATGCAGAAGACTGTCTTTTTAAACTTATGTTGTGCCAATTGACGTAGATGTCCCCTGAGTCTATGGTCCTTCACCTTTGAGCCTAGGAACTTTGTCCAGCGAGGTGTTTAGTTATGTCTATGCTCTGTAATTTTCTTTTTTTTTGGTGTCTTCCCTGGCTTTAACAAGCCCTGACTGTGCAGTGGTTAGTGCTCAGCTGCTAACCAAAAGGTTGGTGGTTCAAACCCGCCAGCTGCTCTATGGAAGAAAGACTTGGCAGTCTGATTTGTAAAGATTTACAGCCGGAAATCCTATGAGGCAGTTCTACTCTGTCCTATATGGTCGCTGTGAGTCAGAATCGACTCTATGGCAGTATGTTTTAGGTTTGCTTGGCTTTGGTATCAGGGTTATGCTGGCTTTAGAGAATAATCTAATTCCTGTCTCTTTGTGAACATATGTACACTGTCTTTTGGATGTAGACCTAGGAGTGGAATGGCAGGGTCGTAAGTTGTGCATTTGTTCAGCTTGATACCAGCAGGAAGGATTTAAGTAAGTTTTAGAACAAACTTCTAGATCCTGAAAGTTGTGATCCACTAGTTCATGACCCCAGAAGAGGAAGCTGTAAAATTTCCTTCTGGAGAACAGGAGGAAGAGGCTAGATTAGGCATTGCTGAGGGACCCTGGAGCAGCCTGTGACTCTTTCCTGTGGGGCTTTGACCCCCTATCCTTGGTCTAGGGGTTTCCAGACTGTCCTTCACAGAAGCGTCTCGGGCCACTTGGAAGGGATGGGGCAGGAGGGCTTTATGCTTCATGTCCCTGCTTCAGCCACAGTACTTCTGTGTCCTCTGCTTTATATACTGGGGTTCTGAGGATGACTTCATTTGTTTTTGTTTTTGTTTTTTTGTTGTTTAGATGTTTTAACTGTTTTGATATTTGAAAATCAACTAGTCTAAGGTCCCTTCCAGCTAGAAGATTCTATTTTGGGAGCAGGAAGTTGGTGTGGGAAGGGTTAAAGGTTATTCAGCCAAGGAGCAGGGTTGGGCCTCAGTGACATTTTAAAGTGCTTATTGCTTGGTTTTCAATGCAGGGCAATCTCATAACATTCTATAAAAACACAATGTCCAAACAAAACAAACTACTGAAGCCTAAAGGATGAAGAGAAGGCTTAACTTTGAAGAACATTTAAATAGAATTTTAGCAAGGGTCCTGAGGACTCTCTCCTTCACCCACCCCCCTTCTTTAAAAAAGTTTTTTTTTCTCCTTTGGCTGTTCCTGGTAGCGGTCACTTGGGGTTTTTTGGGTTCAGAACAGTTCCCATTTTTGCCAAGCAGCAGGTGATGTGAGCAGCCCCTGTGCCCCTCTCAAGGGTGGTTGCCTCTCCTCCAACACCAGATCTAGTTTGGGACTGCGGTTTCCCTTGGCAAGGCAGGCTGGGTGTTCATGGGCCCAGGGAGGGACGTCTCTGCCTTGGCATGTAACTCTTGAGTCAACAGGCCTGATGAACAGCCCATTTCCTGGGGCCTGCAGGCAACAAAGCCCCTAGCTACTGAGGGATCTGTCTACCCTCCTCTTCCTGAAACAGCTGTTTATTCTCTTGATAGGAGTTGGAACACAGCACCTTTCCTTCCTCCTAGCCCTGCCTCCTCCTGCTGCACAACGGAGCTCAACAGAACTTTGTTATTTTGCCTTTTACACTTGGGGGAAAGACACAGACGATGAGGTATGTAAAATCTGAAATGATTTACTTCTACCCTGCTGAGTTCACTGGGGAAATTGCAAGCAAACTGCTGTGTGGATCTACCTGGGGGAGGAAACTTGCTCTCCCCCTAACCCCTTGATGGTTCCTTCAGTAGTTTTGGAAGAGGACAAACCCCGCTCCCGCAACAGGCAGTGGGTCTGGGAGCTGGTGCTGGTGGGATACTGGCTCAGTGACCTCCCCTGTAAATTCTGCTTTGTTTTGCTCCCTTTGGCAGGAACTTACAGGGCTGCAGCAGTGCCTGCAGCCTGGGGTTTTCTCTGCAGGATTCAGAATGACAGTGCAGGGCTGGGGCTGAGCCTTGGGGACCCCAGGAGAGTTGTGGGTGGATGCAAAGACCGACTCTCTCAGGGTAGTGCAGTGTCCTTCATTTAACTTACCTTGCTTCTCTCAGAAAAACCTTGCATAGTGATTTCTGGGCCAGGCAGGAAGGAAACAACTAGCTGGATACAGGCTTTAGACTTTCTGAAGGGGATTCAAGAAAAGGCACTACAAAATGTACCTCCAAGAACAGGTTGTTCCGTTTGTGATGGCTCGATCGACAGCCGTGTATTTAGTCTAAGACTTTTCTCGTATTTTCCTCTATCTGTGTTTACTCTGACCCTTATAATAAAAAACAACTGGAAACAGCCCTCCATGCTTTTTTTTTTTCATGAATTGTACCATGTTTCTTCTGATGGGGAGCATTTCTCCATACCACCTGCATATTTAGCGAGGTTTGAGGAAATAAGGAGCTCTCCGTCCTTACCCTCAGCCCCATCCCCATGTCCAGAGTTGGCCTGGGAATCAGGGGACCTGCTTTTGAAATCTGGCACCTCCACTTCTGGGTGATCCAAGTAACCTCAGGCAAGTGTCTTTACTTTGCTAAAGCTCGGTTTCCCCAGCTAGACAGGCAAGACGGTGATGCTACACCGACCGTGGGGCGGAAGGAACGAGATGGGGTGAGTGAGGATTCCCCACACTGTGCCGGGCAGAAGGGTCTGCCAATGCTCGCCACTCACAAGGGCTTCAGCACTGAGGAAAACTAGCCTAGAGGGGAGTTTGTCCAGTGGTTGGTAGCTTTGGGTCAATTGCTGTGTGTAATCATGAGAGGCAAAACAAGAGGATGCGCCAAGGAGAGATCCAAGGGATTAGCCCGTGAATAAACCTTCATGCTTCTCAGAACAACATAAAGTGGCAGGGGGTGGGGGGAACTCCCTGAATCTGAATCCCAGCTCCATCACTTCGTGCCATGACCTTGGGTGAGTTATTTAACCTTTCTGAGCCTCCGCTTCACATCTGTAAAATGGGGATAATAATAAAGTGGACTCGATAGGGTTGTTGAGAGGCTGTTGCCCAGGGCCTGGTCTGGGCTTAGTCTGGAAAGATCCAGGTGTTGCAGGGCCTGAAGCTTAGTCAAATTTCAGAGCACTTTTTATTTGATTGTGGTAAAACATATATAACAAAAAAAGTTGCCATTTTAACCATTTTTTGAAGTTTACAATTCAGCAACACTAATTACATTCACCACGTTGTGCAACCATCACCACCATGTTTCCAAATGATCGTTACCCCAGACAGAAACTTAGTACTCTTTCAGCAATAACACCCCATTCCTCCCTCCTCCTAGCCCCCAGCAACCACCAAATAAACTTATATTCCTATGCAATTGTCAATTCTAGATATTTTCTGTAAGTGGAACCGTACAATATTTGTTCTTTTGTGTCGGGGACACCTGGAAGATATGGAACAGAATTGCAAATATATATTAGGCATAAAAGTGAAAATTTAGAATATGAGAAAAGATACCACATAAATAACAAAAACTGACAAATACTCCAAAATTTGCAAAACTCATAAAACAACATAATAAAATAATGTAAAGATAACGTCAGAATGATTACTTAGCTGCCTGGTGCACCTGTCATATGGTTTGGCTGCATACTCTTTGATTGCCTCTTGATCCGACAATGATTTTGTAGTCTCCTTTTCAACAGAGAGAAACAGAAAGATAAATCATTTTTCCCTCTACCATGTCTAATCAATGGTTGTTTATATTGCTGAGAATTTAGAAGAGTTTCTTTTAGCCTGACAACTTGTTATTGGTCACACCACCTCTGTAAATCTTTTAGTAGTTTCTTTCTCTGGTGGCACTTCTTGCCCATGGGCCGGCCTTCCAGAGGACTCAGCCCTTTGATCTTCACTGGGCATGGAGGGTGTGGGGATGACAGCTGGACCTGGGTTATGCCCCATGAGTCCTGGGTAGGGGACATGAGGTGGCTGTGAGGCCTGGATCATAGTGATCCCTGAGCAGAGAGTGGAGCAGCATCTACTTCAGCTCCTTCTCCTTTGGGTCAAAGGTAAGGGTGTCTCAACAAGGTTCACCTGGGGCAGGTTATTATCTGGGCCCAGGTTGGTATGCAGGTAGTGGGGTCAGCCCCTCGGCTCTGTTTGCAGTCCCAAGAGTGCACCAGGACTGAGGATGATCCCCTGGGTAGGCTGAAGCATTTGGGGCTTTTCACCCCAGCCCCAGTGGGAGGTCAGGCCCAGACTTGCAAGGGGCCTGTACCGGTGAGGGGCCCTGACACCTGAGCTTTATTAGCTTCCTGGTAAATTGGCCTCTGTGCTCAATGCGTATTGGTTGGTAATCTTTTCATTTGATCATTACTTCAAGGAATTCACATGAGCGATTGCAGAAAGGTGAGCTCCATGTGGCTGAGTGAACTGTCCTCTTGTGAAATGAGATTCCCAGTCCTGTGGTTTATTTCTCATCTGTGTCCCCAGTCAGTTAGGAAAGTCTGTGGGGGAAAGTTAAGTTGAAAGGTCTCATTTCACAGACAAGGAGACAGAGGCCCAGAGAAATCCCATTATTCCAGTTTACAAAGCTGGCTTTGTATTGGAACTGGGGCTGACGTGCAGTCTGCCCTTCCCTGCCCAACTTTAGCGCTGGGCTGGTCAGGGCTGTGCAGCCAGGCTCTCTCCTCATTGCTGTACGCAGTACAGCTGACTATAGCTAACACCCCACAGGGGATTTGTGGTCTCGGCCCTAACTGTTCTGTGCAGGTGCTGCCTTGGAGGATCTAGATTCCTCTCTCAGGGACCCGCAGCTGCACTTTTAGAGACTAAGCTCTGAGCCAGGTGTTTCTGAACCTCTTCCATTAAAAAGCACGATCATCCTTAGAGCTGCCATTTGTGGAGCATTTATGGACCGCCGGGTGAAGCTGAGTGCTTCGTGCACTCAGTCTTCATCATGTCCTTGCAAGAGCTCTGTGAGGAGTGTATTTGAATCTCCATTTGATAAATGTAAATAGAGGCTCAGAGAGTTAAAGTAACTTGCCCAAGGTACACATCTAGGATTCACAACCAGTTCTGCTAGTTGAGCCTTTTAAATGTTTACTCGGCCTAATTTTTATGCGGAATGCTGTATCTAAACACCCTCATTTACAATTGAGCATTTGGAGGCCTAAAGATTAGAGTCTTGTACAGTGTCATTATTATGGATTGAATTGTGTCCCCTAGAAATGTGCATCAACTTAGCTAGGCCATGATTCCCAGTATTGTGTGGTTGTCCATCATTTTGTGATCTATGTGTTGTAAATCCTAACCTCTATGATGTCAATGAGGCAGGATTAGAGGCAGTTATGTTAATAAGGCAGGACTCAATCTACAGGATTTGGTTATATCTTGAGTCAATCTCTTTTGAGACATAAAAGAGAATCGAGGAGAGGGACCTCCTGCCACCAAGCAAGAAGAGCCAGGAGTGGAGAGCGTCCATTGGACCCAGCGTCCCTGTGCTGAGAATCTCCTAGACCAGGGGAAGACTGATGACAAGGACCTCCCCCAGACCTGACAGAGAAAGCCCTCCCCTAGAGTGGCACCCTGAATTTGGACTTCTAGCCTCCTAGACTGTGAGAATAAATTAGTTTGTTAAAGCCATCTGCTGGTGGTATTTCTGTTATAGCAGTACTAGATAATTAAGACAGTCGTTAACACCCAGTTAGTTCCTGTATCCTTCCCTGTTCCCCTTACCCCACCCTGGTTCCTTTTCCTTTGCCACACTTGTCACTACCTGACATTATAACACACATTTTTTTTAGTATCTTGATTCCCCATTAGAATGTAAGCTCGGCAACGGGCTTGTTTGCTATCTCCGGTGCCAAAAACAGTGTCTGGCACACAGTAGTCTGGCTGTGTTTGTTGAATGCATCTGTTGCAGAGCAGGACTGGTGCTCTGTTCTGACGCCCCTCAGAACTCGCCTTACGCATTTGTCACTCCACAGGCACTCGCGGCTCACTTACTGGGTGCCAGGGCCTGTACGAGTCTGGACCCATTGCAATAGTCCAAAAGTTATTAGGCTTGAGCAGAGCAGGGGCAGTTCTGAGGGGAGGGAGAGTGGGTTCCCAGAAGAAATAGAGCAATCACAAGCTGAGAGAGGAATTCTTTGGCCTCTGGGAAGGTGGAAAGTGGTGGGGAATGCTTGGTTTCCTCTGCCACTGCTTTTACCCTGCTCTTGTGGAGATAATGGCTTTTCCAGGGCCTCAGAGTAGACTGTTACTCAGAAGAGACATTCACCTTTTCCCCTGAAATGCGATGGAGAAAACAGGGTCCACTAGAATTCCGTTAAGAGAGGAGTTGTTTGGAAGGAATACCTTGATTTAGTCCAGTTGGGGTGGAGCTAGGAGGTTCTCTTGTGTGTGTGTGTGTGTGTGTGTGGTTCTATGCGAGACAGGTTGGGGGTGGGTAGGGAAGAATTAATTTATGGGCCATATGCAAAAAGTCTGTCTGAGACTCCAGGGAAGTAAAAGAGGAAAAGGAGGAGGGTGAAGGTGGAGAAATGAGAAGCTTTGCAATGTGACCCTGCCTTTTGAAATGCGCCCACGTAGTGAGCAAAATGTATGCAGATCCTGGAGCTGTGGTGAGAGTGGCTTTATTTGGGAACTCCTGCAGGGACTGAGTTCTGGGTGACTCTGTGTGGCCCTAGAGCAGCCCATGTAGGGGGGTAGGATGAATTCAGAGAGAAATCACAAGAGTGTAAGTCAGAGGACCTGGGAGGGTTGGGACCATGACAGGCTGTGCAGCTGGAGCTGGCTGAGTTCACCCAGTTATCTGAGGGGTGGGGCCCAGGAGTTACATGCCATCATTTGAGATAGAGTGTGACTACTCCATAGATCCTAATTCTGTGCTCTGCCCCTCTAACAGGGAATTAGAAGCAAACCCATGTTTCTTACCTGGCTAGATAAGATAACGAGCAATCTTAAAGATTATACGTTTTTTAAAATTCTAAGACAAAGAGAAGGATTTTTAGACTGTGTTGACTGCTAAGTGCTTCCTTTTTATCTAGAGAGAAAAATAAAAATGTTTTAAAAGACCCATTGGCCGTCCTGCCAACCCTTCCTTCCCTGGAGACTTAGATTCAAGATTCTGGGAAGCACGTGTATACCCATTTCCAGTGCTTTGCTAAAGAATGCAAAATTGGCTTATTCAGGCAGCTTCCAATTATAAGTCTCAAACAAGAGTGACAGTTGGCTGCAGCAAAAGTAGGCAAATTCAAGCCATATGTGAAGTCCAGAAAGAAATAGGCCTCTAGAGTTGCCTCTAATGCTAATTTCTGAAGTAAAAATATCATAAACACCTGCACATTTGGGGTGGGGATTACAGAGTGTTCTGATTTTGGCTCTCCCTGATGTAAATGTCAGTGTTCTCTACCATGGGAATTTGTGTGTTTCTCTGTTTAATGTTTCTTACAAGTGGGAGAAATTTGCATTTGATCCTCAGCAGGTGGGATTGATACACACAGTCAGACTTATCAGCACGTGCAGGGTGTTATAGCAGGGCCTGGACTTGATTAAAGAAAATCAAAGTTGTAGCCCACCTCCGAGGCACCCTTGATCAGGCTGGGGCACAGGACAGATGGGTAAACCTTTAGTGTTGCTAATGTGCATCTATTTGCACTTGATTGTGTGGCGTATTCTTATTCAAAAACCCTGTTATTTTACCCCAAATATGTATTTGCAGAGTACCAGGTGTTGTGCTGTCTCATTGGATACTCCGAGCAGCCTGTTTTATGGATGTCAGTGATAGGAACTAGCACTTTTTGAACATTTATACTGTGGCAGGCACAGTGCTAAGCATTTTATAGACATTATCTCTTGTGATCATTACTGTTTTTGTCCTCATTTTAAAGACTTGGAAACTAATTTAGTGTAACCCAGTTGTGGTCTACTATCCCTTTTTGAAAACTTGGCACCAGATATGTTGGAATTCAGACTTTTTTGTATATGGTGCATATATCATATATTATGTAACACCCCAGTGCAGCAGTACCACATAATAAAAAAATCAATACTTATGTAAAGAAATGTATAAACAATCTTACTATGTACAGTAAAGATTATTAACAGTCTCACATCACTTGGGACCTTGTTGCCAACTGAATTACAAAAAAAGTTTTCTGAGCTTTTGAGATTTTGCAATTGTGGATGAGGGTCTGAGGAATTGCAGTGTGCTCAGGGTTTCCCAGTTTTGTGTGTGTCAGAGTTGAGACTCAAACCCCCACTTTTACCCAAAGCCTGTCCTATTAGGATCCTACACTTCTCTGGGAGCAAAGACATCAGCATGGAGAGTGGGCCATAATCTCGGCTCCAGATCTGTTTGCTCCCAAACCCAGGGCTTTTCTAACACTCAATGCTAGTGCTATTGCCATAGTTTTCAAGCGGCTTTTTTTCAGTAGTGGCGTTGAGTTGAACGCAGCCATCCACATTCTTTGACTTTGCCTGGGCCATATGTGCCAGCTCATGTATTATTTACAGGGGAGATGCGCGAGACTTAGGTTTGCATGTGGCCCAACAGGTCCATCTTCTAAGGGACTCTGGGATACCACTAATCATAGTTTCACCTGAAAAATGGAGGCTGGGTTATAACTTTGAGTTCAGCTTTAGCTTTTTTCCAAACAGAATTCACTTTCTAAGCAAGGAGGAATAGAAAGTCACGGCTGAAAATCCAGTTCATACTCTTAAGTGGTGTATTGAGGGTCCCCAAGACCACTCTCAGGTTCAGTGATTTTCTATAAGGACTCACGGAACTCAGAAAAGCCGTGATACTCATGGTTACAGCTTATTACAGGGAAAGGATACAGATTAAAATCAGCAAAGGTAAAAGGCACATAGAGCAGAGTCCAAAAGCGACCAGGTATAAGCTTCCAGTCCAAGAGCGACCAGGTATAAGCTTCCAGTTGCCAGAGCACCTGTGTGACTGATCTTAGCTACTCAGAATCCAGTCCCTCCTCCCCGAGGGAAAACTATCTGGTGTGGCCCAAGGCCCCACGTATACAAAGACACTCTGATCAGGCAGGATATTCCAAGAATTTAGAGGTTATCTCAGGAGGTGGTCAAGGATTTGTCCTTTTTGGGGAACGTTTGGATAACCCAGGCCTACTGAATTAACCCTTTACTGCACAACTGGATTTAATAATAAAGGTCATACAGCACATGAGATTTGAGACAGGAATCTAAGAACCCCTTTTTAAAAGAATTGGAAAATAACCAGTCACCTGAAGGAACAAATTTTGGTGTTACTCTCATTTTATTTCATTAATTCATTAAAACATTTAGTGAAGGCTTCCTCTGTGTAGGGCACTTGGGATTCAAAGTTCCTGCATTCAGGAAGCTAACAGGTAAAAGAGATGGAGCTATATGCAGATGTTACCATGTGAGCCACCTCCAAAAGCATTGTGAATAGAGTGATGGAGGAGCTTGAGGAGAGAAGGGGACTCAGCTGATGGTCAGGGTGGTGTGGGTGATGGGATGTGGCTTCACAAAGGCAATGACATTTGATGCACAGCACAGCTGACCACTCCTTTCTCCTTTCAGGTCCCCACAGTCTCTTGTATCTTGAAGTGCTTCAAACTGGGTTCATTCCGGTTCGAACCCCTGCTGAGAATTTGCATTTCTACCCCATATATCCTGAATCAGAACCTACATTTTTAATAAGATCCCCAGGTGATTCTTATGTATAACTTCCTGGGAACTTGTTAGAAAGGCAAATTCTCAGCAGGGGTTCGAACTGGAATGAACCAGTTGGAAACCCTGGTTTCTCCTCCTACCTCCTGGCCTTCTTTATGCAGCAGTCAAGAAATATTTGGGTACCTGCTGTGCACCAGTTGTTTGTTTGCTTGTGGGTGTTGGGGGAGAGGGGGAAATGGGGAAGCTGGAAAGTTAGTGAGGCCTAGATTGTAAAGAGCCAGGGTTGTTTTCTTGTCAGAGCTTGGGAGATGTAGAAAGTACATCAAGGGCAGCAGAGTAATGGAATGGAGTGGTTCTTTGCAGTCACATGCAGAGAGCTAGGGCGATCCTGAGTCAGGAGGCAGCTGGTGTCCATGGGAACCATTTATAGCCTGGATGGTACATAGATAAACACCAGGCAAACACTCCTCACTCTCCTGTCTGTCCATGGCAGACATCATGATCAGTTGGGATACTTTCAATGGTAGACATTATAATCAATCCAGATACATTCTCTCTTGAGTTCTGAACGGCCTTAGCATCCTTCCCAACACAGGAAACCTTGCCAATTACAGTGAAACCTGTGAGAGCCAGAACTTGACAGGACTGCCTTGTGTTTCCAGGTCTCGCAAAGTTTCCTCCTTTGACAGGGTACAGTCTTACCACTTTTCTATCGCTATCTATTAGTGGAAAATATTCGCGTTTTCCTTCTCTGACAGGTTTTCGCCTTACACAGGTTCCAGCTTTCGAAGGTTTTACTGTAGTTGAATTGGCCTACTTTGCCCTTGTAGTCCTGCACAGTTTACGGTAAAGCATATTCTTTAGCTCTAGTTAAATATCCATAAATTTATCTTTTTAGAGAGGATATGGGTAGAAGCATTCTTTAAAAACCCTATCTCACTGTGGATTTAATTTATTTAATCTATTTTTTCCCCTCTTCTTTCTTCCCAGGAGAAAATAATGAATGTCAAAGGAAAAGTAATTCTGTCAATGCTGGTTGTCTCAACTGTAATTGTTGTGTTTTGGGAATATATCAACAGGTAATTATGAAATGTGATGAAATAATATTGGTGAAAGTACTGACTCTCATCTGCTAGTATTAGCTGAGTCACCGTGCTGAATTAAAGTTAGGATTATCTGAAATTATAAATAAGAGATTCCATCCTGCCTGTATACCTGGGACCTGACTGTCTTTAAAATCATTAGATCTCCCAGTAACTTCTGGCTAGTTACTTAATCTTCCTTTCTGCTGTGTTCCCACTGTCTTGATTTTTATACCTTTGCAGTTTGGGGGAGGGGTCCAGGGATGGTGAAGTCAAATGAAGCCCAAAATGTAATTTTAAATTATTTGTATGATCAGATACAGAAATTACCTTAAGAAAATTCAGACAGGAATTCCATGAGACATCCACTCTAACTTTTGCAATCCTTAAATATTTGCAGAGTTTAAAGGAGCAACTCAAGTTGCTGACTTTTGTTGCAAAACAGACTCTTTGAGTCACTGGTGATTCATTGTGCCTGACTAAAGTTTTTGGGTATTTTTTGTTTGTTTAGTTTTTGTTTTTTTTTTTAAACTCTGGAAAGCAAAATGAGTGAATCATTTCTGAGTTTTCAAACTCAGTGGAATCACCCCAAATACATGAACTGCTTCTCTGCTTTTTGAAACTACAATGCCTCAGCGATTCCAGCTAGTAGAGGCTTCTGCCAGAAAGAAGTTCGTGCAAGCAGCCATAAAAATGCATGCCTTTGACTAAGAGGCATGGGGAAGCTCAGCCGTTAAGTTCAAAAAGTCCACTGTACAACTGTGGGCAGGGAAGCTAACTTGGCACCATTAGTAGTTACATGCTGAAGTGTTTTAATGGCACCGAAATTCAAGATGGTGGCCTGGATTTACACTTGAACATGTCTTTCAATTCGTAAATTCTAAGGTTTGATGAGCCAGCAGGACCATCTTGACTATTAAAAAAGAACTGCCCCTTTAGGCTGCATCAGTAGGAGGAGGAATCCCGGAATACTGGAGCTATTCGTCCCTGGGGTACTGCACAGATCTAACCACTTCTGTTATTATCCTGGGTTATTTGGTTTCATTCTGAACAACTCATTTTAGGAAAAACTTGACAAGCTAAAATGTGACCAGATTGATGAGGGGTCTGGAAACCAGGTCTTTTGCATTGAGGAAACTGGGGATACTTAGTACAAAGAAGAGATAACCCAGAGTTGGGAGTGGGACCCTGGGGCTATCTTAAGTACAAGAACTCTGGAGCCAGGCTGCCTGGAACTGGGTCCTGTGACACCACTTACCTCCTCTGTGACTTTGAGCAAGTTTATTCAGCCACTCTGTTCCTCAGTTTCCCTATCTTTAAAATGGGGACACTAGTACCTAAGAGGATTGTTGGGAGGATTAACTAAGTCATTGTGTATGAAGCACTTAGGACAAAAGCCTGGGACTTAATGAGTTCTCAGTAAATGCTAGCTGGTATCATCATCATCCTCATCAACATCATCGTCTCGTCATCATCATCATCATCGTCTCCTCCAGAGGGCAAAGGGGGATAGTGGATTTTGGCAAATATAAGGAAGAGCTCCAGCAGTTGGAAGAGTCCAGCATAACAACAAATGTCTTTTGGGGCTCCTGCCTTGAGTTGGAACATCTAATTGGATAACCTTCAAGCTCTGACTCTGAACGCTTGATTGGATGACCTTGGTCTTTTAGTCATAGCCAGGGTTGTAATTCCATATTTTGGGTGGTTCACAAAATTAAAATATGGAAGCCAAAGGCCCAAATATACATGTTGGCACTGGCCTCCCATAAGGAGGCTTATTTTTCAGTGCTGGGCACATTCTCCCAGCACAGTGACCACAGCAGGTACTGGCTACTCTTCAGGGCCTTCATCTGGCACCAGGGCTCCAGCCACATCACTCCCAAACATGCAGAATCTACTTGAATCTCTGCAAGAGGCTTAAAAGGCAGCGGATCCTTTGCCATTTTATGAATCATCTTGTGTCATGTGATGGGTTGAAGTGAGCTGACGATATTAACCTCAGACAGGTGGGCAGCACTGAGCTAAAAAGGATTTTAAAATAACCAGTTGCCTTTAAGTCAGTTCCAACTCATGGTAACCCCATGTGTGTCACAGTAGAACTGTGCTTCATCGGGTTTTCAATGCTAATTTTTCAGAAGTGGATCACCAGGCCTTTCTTCTGAGGCACTTCTGGGTGGACTCAAACCTCCAACATTTCAGTTAGCGGCCGAGCACATTAACCATTTGCACCACCCACGTACTCCAAAAAGTATTTTAGAATTACTAAATAGAACAAGTCAACTGATCAGTCAGTGGAGCATCCTGGGCAGAATTTGATAGGAGGATGGATGAAAAAAATCATAGACTGTTAGAGCTGGAAGAAACCTTAGGAGTTATAATAAAATAATAATGATGGTGATGGTGGTTATGATGATAGCAGCTACTAGTTATTGACTGTTTGGTCTGTGTTAGGCACTGTGCTATGCATTACCTCCAGGTCTTATTAACAGCCCTGCAGAGTAGGTATTATTCTAAGTTTCTAGATGAAAAAACAATCTCAAAAATGTTAAATGAAAAAATTATCTATGTAAGACCAAATGGACAACAGCTGTTCTAAATTATAGATGAGAAGGTTGGGGGGCAGGGAATTTAAGTCAGTAAGAGTGAAACAACTAGAACAGAAATAATGAGAAAGTTGACATAATGTGAAAACTATAACCAGTGTCAGTGATCATTATGTCTAGAAACTGTTGAATGGGAATGGGTTTTGCTGTGTATATTTTCACCAAAAATAAAATGAAATATTATTTTTGTATTTTTTAAAAAATTTTTCCTATACAAAA